AGCGAAGGAGTATTGGGACCAACCTACGATGGAGATGGAAATCCGTTGTCAGAGTTGGAAATGCAGAAATCTGCACAGAAGCTAAAGAGCGAAGAGAAAGAGAAAGTACGAGTGGAAGCCGAACCGTACAAACCCTCGGAAGAAGAGCGACTTGCTCATGAAGCAACACACCTACCTTTTGCTCATTGGTGTGAGTCATGCGTAGAAGCCAAGAGTAAGCAGGATCACGAAAAGAAGAATCCCGAAGCAGGAAAGGACTCAGTGGGAGTGCCTTATCCCATAATTCAGTTGGACTTTATGTTCCTAAAAGGAAAGGACACACCAGCATTAGTTGGAATCTGTTCATGGACAAGGATGTCGGTTGTGATCCCTGTATCTGGAAAACAGACGGAGAGAAAGACCGTGGAGAAAGTGTTGAAATGGGTACACAGTCTTGGACACTTGGAGGAAGTCGGATTTGTTGGAGATTCGGAAGAAGCAATGTTATCACTGATAGCTGCAATCGTGGAAACTCGAAGAAAGATGAACCGAAAAACACACGATCAAAACAGCAAGCCGTATCAGAAAGGAAGAACGGCAAGAGTTGAAAGGTTTATCCAGACGGTGAGGAACCAAACAGTTTGCTTGGTACGAGCAGCCGAAAGAAAGCTTGGTATAGAGATTCCCGAAGGCCATGCAGTTTGGGCCTGGGGATTGTGCCATGCGTCATGGTTGCTGAACAGGTACCACAGACACGCCGCGATAGGGTCAACCCCTTACGAAAGTGTCGTTGGTAGACCTTACCTTGGGAAGATTGCCCCATTCGGAGAGTATGTGTATGCGCTGAAGAAACCAGAGAAGAAAGGAACAGCAAATTGGATTGGAGGAATCTATCTTGGTAAGAACTCTCAGGATATGCACTTGGTAGGAGTTGAAGACGGAATCTTGGCAACAGGATCTGTAAGGCGAATCGCCACTGGATGGAGAAAGGAACCAGTACTGAAGCTGAGTGTAACTCCATGGAACCCCAAGAAGCCAAAAGGAACGTATACCAGACAGCCGTTACCAGCCCCAGCATTGGCAAGTATCGCAGAGGAAGAAGGAACAGCACAGGAACCCGTAGTTCGTGCGGAAGATCGAGGACAGTCCCAAGAGGAACAGGTCGAGGAACTGTTGGATCTGTTAGACACAAGCGAAGCCTCAAGCGGAGGCAGGGCCTCAAGCGGAGGCAGGGCCTCAAACGGAGGTATGACCAGCACAGGATCTAGTTCTCATTCCCGGAGTTCAAGTTCAATGCAGGATGCACCACCTGGAGAACCAGAAGGACGTGTCAGTGACGATACGTTGTTAGAAGACCTCAGGAAGAGAGCTGTAGAAGGAGGACAGGAAGTAGAAGGATCGCCCGAAGAAGTCACGAGAAATGCCATCATCACCATCATCGCCCTCAAGAGGAATCTACCCGCCATTGTTCGCAGGCAGGGTATCTCAGGAAGATGATCCCTTTCACTGGGATGAACATGAGGACCTCACAGCAGTAGAAGGAGAAGACGTAGAGTATGAGGATCTAATGGAAGAAGAGATGGAAGAAGTTCCAAAGAACGACCAAGGAGAAACACCACCCGAACTAAGTCCAGAGGAACTGGATACCTTGGATCAGGAAGCAGCCGTGGAAGAATTGAATCGCCTCAGTAAGCTAGGAGTAATTGAGGAGTTCATGGAGGCGAACGCAACAGGTGATGAAAAACGCATGGATTTGCGTGAAGTTTACGACTGGAGGCATCGTGACGGACGCTGGAAAAGACGGTGTCGTATAGTGGCCAGGGAGTACAGGGCAGGTGCGAGCAGCACAGCTGAGACATTCAGCCCAACGGCAAGCAATGCCGCGTCGCGCCTAGTCTTGTTGTTACACCTGGTGTACAACTGGGTCGTAGTCGTACTTGATATAAAGGACGCGTACCTCCAGGTCCCGCAGCAAGAAGAGGTGCTAATCACAATTAGTGATTGGATGAAGCGAGCCGCGAACCTGAAAGAAGGAATAGTGTGGAGGCTCAAGAGATGCTTACCCGGTCAAAGAAACGCCGCAACAAGGTGGTATGAACATTTGCGGAGTATACTTGAGAAACTTGGATTCGTGTTCTCAGTACATGTACCCGCATTAGCTAGACACACCACAAGGAAGCTGTGTATCTCTATCCATGTAGATGACGAGCTACCAGCAGGAGAAAAGGAGGAAACCATTTGGTTGGTAGAAGAATTGGAGAAAGTATTCAAGGTGGAGAAAGAAGGACCATACCCAGCGAATGGAGTCGGAAGTGGAGAAGAGATGCGATATCTCAAAAGGAAGTATGTCTTCACCCGAGAAGGAATTGTTGTCCAACCGAATGAGAAGCTCATTGAGTTGTATGACCTTGGAAAGTTAAAGAGTAAGGCCACACCAGAGCATGTGGATCTGGTGAAGGAAGACCGGACCAAGGAGTTGAGTGCTGAAGAGACAAAACGGTTTAGATCTGGACTCGGATCTATTTTGTACCTTGCACAGGATAGGATTGACATTCAGTATGCCTCAAAGTGTTTGGCATCAAGTATGTCGAAGCCGACGTTGCAGGCACTAAAGTGTCTGAAGCACTTGATTCTGTATTTGAGTGGAACAGCCACCAGGGCTACTCTTTTACCGTATACCGAAATCGGAAGCCGGTTGATCACGAAGTTGAATGGCCAAGAAGACGAAGAAATTGCCAAGGATGCAGGACATGTGGTGGAAGCGTATTCGGACAGTGATTGGGCAAGCCTGAAAACCCCGGACAGAGCCCGAAGGAAGAGTACCTCATCAGGAATCATTGTACTGAACGGAGTGCAAGTGTTATCATTTTCTAGGACTCAGAAGGCCACATCATCATCAAGCTGTGAAGCAGAGTTGTATGCACTAAGTGGAACTTGTGGAGAAGCAATCCTAGTCGGAAGGCTATTTGAGTTCCTAGTAAACGCGCCTGTACGCGTGGAGATACGGTGCGATTCATCATCTGCACGACAGTGGAGTCAACGACGAGGAGTTGGACGTCTGAAGCATGTGGACGTTAGGCTGTGTCAACTGCAAGATTGGGTACGAGACAATCTTGTAAAACTTGGTACAGTGCGAACCGCGCTAAATGTAGCGGATCTGAACACCAAGAAGTTGTCGTATGCCCGAAGGTCATTTCTACTGTATCACTTGTCTCAAGTAGAGTATGATGAAGAAGGAAATTTGGAGTATACTGGAGAGAAAGAGTATGAAAAACATGAACAAGAGAAGAAGTTGAAGGAGTATGTCGGAAGCGGACAAATCAAGAGTCTCATTAGGGCCATACAGGTATTTCATTTGATGAAGCCGATTACCGCAGTATTGCTCAAGGAGGAAGTATCTGACGCCCAAGCAGAGACCTGTGGAACCTTGGAAAAAGGTATGAGCGCCATGGATGGAAACTTCACGAAGTTTGAAGTTGGAATGATGGTATGCGTATTTTTACTCGCAGTGCCGTATGTTATCACGGTATGGACAAAGCTTGGAAGAATTTTGGAAAACCTGCGAGGTATTGGACGTGTGAAGATCAGTACGGGAAGCCGTGCACGTGTATATCACCGTGCTACTTGCTGGCATGCCCAAGGGTCACACAAGAAGCCAGGCCGGTGGGTCTGGAAGGACGTACAAGAAGCTGAACAAGATGGCTTTAGGGCATGTTGGAGTTGTTTCCCAGAGACGAAGCCAGAAGGAAGCTCGAGGAGACGCCGAGAGCGCGCAGAGCCACCAACCCCAGACGAAAGTGACTGGGAAGTAATGGAGCTTGACTTTGAAGTAGAGTCAAATGGTGGATGCACAAAGAAGTGCTACTGGTGCGGAGTACGAAAGTGTACAAGGGAGAAGGTAAACCACCAGAAATGTTCTTGCACGGAATGCATCAAGACATATGCAACGGAACAATGGAGGAAAAGTTATGACAGAGCAGTAACGGAAGGAACGGGTAATGCCACGGAAAAGGAAGAGACCCGTGTAACGGATGAAGTGGATCATGCCTGGAATGCCGGACAAAAGAGTGGCAATGGAAAAGGATCTTTGAAGAGACGTGGAAGAGCAGCGATGGGAACACCATCAATCGTACACACAGAGAGTGTGCGTATGCCCATCATAAGTGAGGAAGACTACCGACGTGGTGTAAAAGTCACATCTGGAAGAAACAAGCAGGATGTGGAAACCCAGGAAGAACCGGAAAAGAAGAAAGAGCCGGAGATGATCGAGTACCGCGGAAGGATGATTACCGTGGAAGAGATGGGGAACAAGATGCTATCCCCAGAAGCACAGGAATCGTATGAGAAGTATTGCGAACAATGCAATGAGATGTATGACGCGTCAGAAGAACGCGCACAAGGATCGGAAATCCCAATGGACCTGTTTGGGAGTTCGAAGCCAATGGATGTAGATCCAGGTACGCCGGACAGCACAGAACAGAGAACGTTGTTCGGAAGTCAGTAAGACCTACATCGTGTACGAGTATGAGGCAGAGAAGTGAGTGTAGGCAAGACTGAAAAAGTTTCACCTCGGAACGCACAGCAGCGAAAGCGCAAAAGAAGGAAGAGCGCTAACGCAGGAAGTTTGTGTGGAATGTTTCACTAGGACGAAGTACTTGTTACTGTACGAGTCAAGGCAAGGACGGTCTGACACACCTCCTTAATTGGGGGACGGTCAAAAGGTGGGTTGCACGGAGTGTTTAACCCAAGGACTTGCAATGGCTAAGCCGATGCAGTCACGGGCGGAGGTATGCCCGACCAATGACCGATCGAAGTACAGCACAAGGACTTCGAGGCAGGGTGTTGAATTCTGTACATAGGAACGCCCCACACCTTTGGTGAGCCCAGGCTACGGTATAGTATTGTATAGCTGTATACTATGTGACCGATGCAGCGCCTTTGGTTCAAGAGTAAAAGCGTGACCGCTCAGGGTTTTACAGTTTAACTAAAGGACCGTTTGGAACTCACTCCCCGGGGAGAAGGAGTACGAGGTCTTACGGGTTTTCTTCGCAGACCGCGTCGAGGACGACAAGAAGGTGACGCAGTGGCGCAAGCGCCGCAAGAACTTTACGTCCAAGAAGCAGAAGGAGAAGCACGGGAAGATCCTAATGTACCACAAATGCCCTGAGGATGTTCAGAAGGAACTGGACAAGAGCAGAGCCAAGGAGTGGGCAAAGTGGCAGGACTTCAGTGCTGCGATCATTCTTGATGACGCTCAGTATGATGAGTTGATCCGCGAAGGACATCAAGTCATACCTACCCAATGGGTAGAGCTGGACAAGAACCACAACAAGAGGTTACTTGATCCTACTGTGGAGGCCAACTACAAGAGTAGGTTGGTTGTTCGGGGTGATCTTGAGAAGGGTGATCCTAGGAGTGATAGCCCTACTGCTAGCATAGAAGCTCAGAACTTAGTGTTTTCGTTTGCGGCTTCTAGGAAGGTTAAGATTAAGTCCCTGGACGTGACTAACGCCTATTTTCAAGGCGAGGAGATAGATAGAGTACTTCTACTATCTCAGCCCAAGGGAGGACTCCCTGGGCTCAAGCCACACCAGCACATGCTGGCGAGAGCACCCATCTATGGCAGCACCGATGGTGGTAGACGGTTTTGGAAGAGGCTTAGGAATTACCTTAAGGGTAAGGGACTTCGCGAGAACCGCATCTACCGCGCTTTGTACAGTTACACCGACGCCGATGGGGTTGTACAGTTGCTCTTGACGTCCCACGTAGACGATCTATTGTGGGCTTGTGATCCGTCATGCGATTGGATCATGAACGATCTCATTGAGACGTTCAAATGCGGGAAGGTCGAGACCGGGAGCTTCAGGTACTGCGGGAAGGAGATAAGCCAAGACGAGGATTTCAATATCCATGTGACCTGCAGCGAGACAACGAGGAACGTGAACAAGATACACGTTGACAAGAGGAGGCACCCGGGAGATCCCTTAGCGGACTCTGACAGGACGCAGATGAAGAGCGTCGCTGGGTCCCTTGCTTGGGTTTGCAGACAATGCCGACCCGACTTAAGCTATAGGGTATCCAAGATCCAGTCGGCTTCTAGCAATGGTACCGTCGCTGACATCAGAGATGCCAACAAAGCGGTCGAGTACGCTATTAGCACCTACGACAGAGGACTTGTTTTCAAGTCTGGGCTGTTGGACTGGAAGACACCAGGTGCTCTTTTGAGTCTGGTGATCACGGACGCTTCTCACGCGAATGAGTCCGAAGAGATGATCATAAATGAGATGACATCTGTGGAAGGACACCGGAGCCAAGGTGCAAGGATGGTGTTTCTTACAGACGGCGCCCTGTGGAAAGGGAACAAGGGTAGCATTCATCCCATCTTGTGGGCGAGCAACCTCGTTCGGAGGGTATGTCGCTCCACCATACAAGCAGAGGCCTACACACTTCAGGCAGGTGTGGAGGACGGTGACGTGCTGAGAGCAGCTGTCACTGACATCTTCGGATGCCTCGATATGAAAAGGTGGGAGGCTACGTCGGCCAAGTTTGTAAAGCAGATCTGGATGACAGACTGTAAGAGTCTGGAGCTGACGCTTTCGAATCCGAAATGCAATAAGCATTCGGACAAGAGATTGAGCATCGAGATCGCGTCTCTTAGACAGGAGCTATGGCGCAAAGCTGGCGAGAAAGCAGGAGATCCGTTTTACGACGACTACAAGCCAGCGGATGATCAGTTAACTGACATCGTCAGATGGATTGACACTGACGTGATGATCGCTGATCCATTGACTAAGGTCATGGAGCCGGTCAAGTTGGTTGAAGCTCTGAAAACCAACACACTCGACGTAGAGCAGCCGCTCGAGAGTGTCGTGAAGAAGCGCGCCAAGCAGCTTCAGAGGAGGTCGACGAAGAAAGAAGAGGACAACGAGCAAGACCGTTGATCCCTGAGCACGAAGTCTCACCACACTGACGCTGTAAGAGTCACGGGTGTGAAACTAACCTGTTTTGCAGCGCGTACACTGTGTGTACCTAGAGTTTGTACAGCTTTCAGACGTTCCCCTCTACCCCAGGGGCCCCTTGGACCAAGCCTACGGCTTTGCGGAAAAGTGACTAGTCTTCGCACCGGCATTACTGTTGCTTTTTGACAGTACCCGCTTAGATACAGGGAGAAGGTCGGGTTGCAGTTGCGAGCTTTGTGGTCGAGACAATGAGTTAGTCAGGCTCCGAGATGCGGCTGCTGGCAATCATGGGGCCTCTGCTCGACGGGCGGCTGGGGCGGCCAGGGCATCATCCATGGGACCCGAGAGCAGATCCCTCTATCTGCTCCAAGTAATGTCTGCCACCTCACGGGACAACATCCACTCCTAAGCCTAAGCAAGCCCCCTGTGAGCATCGCGACGCTTGCGAGACGCGATCGCCCGATGCATCCGTGGTCAGCCCCAGGGCTCCTCAGGACAGTTTGAAATCGCATGTATAGCCGCACAGGGGCGCCAGCGGCAGCAGCCACCCAGACGGAAATGCCTTCATCGCATTCCAGCATGCATCAGGGAAGTGCGGCGTTCGTGTTTCCGTAGATGCCACTGACTTGAGGAAGGAACCTGGTGGCTGCGGAATATTGGGACCAAAACGGAAGTCTCTGTACAGGCACGTGAGTAAGCACGACCAGTGAGACCCATCGGCCCGCGGGATGCAGTGCCTGCAAGAGAAGGGTGTCCGGGATAGCTTGTTCTTGTGTGTAGGGTTTCGCCGATGTCCGGAATCAACCGTTGCTCGCTTTTGAAGCTTGCCGCGCTGCTGCCACAAAGCCTGCGCCCGAATCATCTTACATGCATCCGCCACGGCGGCTATGTCGTAATGCTGGCACGCACGCGAAGGCCGACTGCAAAGGTCACATACCTTCTCCTAAGCCCTGCCTGAACTTGACGGCATGGGCCAGCAGACTGCTTCGCTCGGTGCAAAGTAGCACCCTTTCCCGGGCCTGCTTGCCGGTGGCCAAAGCCACAACCTCTGTGCGAAGGTGAAATTGAGAGGCCTTTGCTGTGCCGGCAGGCGATGGAGCGTCGGACAATCCAGCCCTACGTCCGGGATTCGTCTTTCCAGGTGAGGCTTCTCTGCAAGACGATGGGTGCCATCCGCTGTCTGCCTGCTTGCTCTCTCTCTCTCTCTCTCTCTCTCTCGCCCTGTCGCCCTCTGTCGCCGTCGAGGAGGAGGAGGTGGGTTTCTGGGGTTCGTCTCAAACGTCCTATAGACCATCCTAGAGGTCCTAGACCTATAGACGTCGTGGATACATCCCTTTGTGCCGAGCACCGGAAGCCCGGGAACGGCGTACCTCTGAGAGCTAGCTTTTCTTTCCACGAGAGGGAGTGTTGCAAGAAGGCCTGAGGCAAAGTCCGAGGGCTTTAGGCAAGCTCATGTCTTCGGTGCGGTGGGTGCCGCAATCTTTCCGCAGCAGCACAGCAGCTGCTCGCCTGCTTCGTGCTTGTGCCTGCGCCGACAGGGAGCTTTGTCGAGCGCCCGTCTTCGACGAACGCCGGGGGGAGTCGCCGCCACTTTGCTGGTGCCTGTCTGTGCCGCAGCCAGCCATGCCTTCGCCATACCATCCGTAGCATGGCCTGGTTTGTTTCCAAGGTCATATAGGAATCCACGGACTGACCTAAGACCTGGAAGCAAGCTTGGGCGTTGCATGCACTTCTGTACATTATGTGGATGCAGTGCGACAAGCAAGCGCCGTCTCTGATCCCACGAACAGCTCAAGCTCACCCGCAAGGGCAGCGGCGCTCTGCTTGCTCTGTCCATTGCGACGTGGAGTGCCTGTCGACGGCATGGCCTGCATGCCGACGTGAGCAAGGTACAAGTTGTGGTGCTCTTGAGATGAAGGCATCGGGCATGGCCTTACGTTGAGCGGACAAGGAGCGTTGCGGAGCCACTTGGGCGATGAGCGCAGGTCGTGTCGTCACAGTCGGCTTGGCCGATGCCGCTGGGCCTGCCGTACCGCGGCCGGCGCCGCCGCCGAGGCCTTCCAGCACCTGCTGAGGCCAAACGCCTGGACGCCCGCGCCACCTGTGCTCTGCTCCGCCTCCATCGAGCTGGGCTCCTGCGAGTTTGACCCGGACTTCGGTTTCCCGTGGTGCTGCTTCTGCTCTCTGAGCCTGCAAGCACCCCATGCTTCAGCTAAGCCCCAGGCTCTAAATCCCACCTTGGCCCGACCTGAACTGCTAATGTCTGGGACAACGCAGGAAATAGGTCGGAACCGTTTAATGTCTAGGAGTCTAGGACAACGGCAAGACTGGTCGTCCCACACGTGAGGATCTGCGAGCTTCGTGCATGGAGGAGCGACCGAAGTCCGCGCCGCTGCCACCTGCGCTGCAGCACCCTGCCCTGATCAGCAGCCTCCTGCAACTTGTCTGAGTCACCCTCACTCTCCAAGTAAAGCAGACGGTTTCGAAAGCCCCACACCCTATGAACTCCAAACTCAACCCACCACCGCTCCTTCCTGCTACCCAAAGATGCTGAAGGATGCTGTTGGCCTGAGCTTGGCAGCTTGAACTCTGAAACCTGAACCCACATCTAAACCTCCTCCCCTGGCACACCTTTCCGTCTGTCGTGGCCTGGCGGCGGCGGAAGTGCGTGCCGGGGCAGCTCCTCCTGACTCTGTGACTTTGCGGGGAAGGGCAGAGAAGTGAAACACAGAAGTGCCCTTGCACCCGGATTGCTTGAGCTGAAAGCCTGCCTGCGCCGGCTTGCTTTCGAGAGTCCAGGTTCTCTGGGCTCGCGCCCGTCCCTGCGGCGCAGATGCCTCGTCGAGGGATGCGGGCTTCTGACCCGTTCTTGGAGATAGCGACGCAGAGCTGACAGGCAACTCGCGCCGACAGTCACGTTCGCAGGCAACTGCACGGGGCTCCGGCTGAGGGTAGCTGGCGGTGTGCTTCGCACTACTCACAACTAACTTGGTAGGATGCTCAAACCGATGCCGACGAATGCAGCTGATTCTTCACGTGCCCGCGCAACCACTCAAGTGCCGGCGTTTTACGCCTCAAACCCTATAAACTCTGTACCCACCACCGCTCCTTCCCACCACCCAAAGATGCTGAAGGATACTGTTGGCCTGAGCCTGGCAGCTTAAACTCTGAAACCTGAACCTACATCTTAATCTCCGTGCCTGGCACGGCTTTCCGTCTGTCGTGGCCTGGCGGCGCAGCGGCCAGGCACATCGTGGAAATGCATGTCCTGGCTCCTGCACGGTGGCCCGCGGCAGCTTGCACAGTGCTGGCGAGCGATGTGCCGCAAAAGTGCAGCAACTGCTGTGTATCGTGTATGTGCATGCGCATGCGTCCTGGCTGACGACGCAGCAAGGGGCAACTGTATCTTTAAACTTTAAACTGATGCAGACAGTTAGGTGCCAAGGCGCATGTGGGGCCACGGCTCAAAATGGGATGCTGCGAGCGTGAGCGATCTCGGTCGTACAGGGTCTGCCGGCTGAACAATGTTGCACACGTTGCACTTTTCTGGAAACGTGCGGGTGTGGCTCCTGAATGCGGGGTCGAAGCCACGCAAGTGATTGCATAGAGATGGAGTGAGTGCCGCCCGGGCCTGCAAGTCCTAAGGTCTTAGGGTCCCAATCTGACCCTGCAAGGTCTGAAACCCCGCGCCCAACGCCCTTCGTCGAAAAGGGCCACGGCAGGCTGAGGCTTTATGCAATGCTTTGCCTTCACGATGCAGCTAAGACTGATCGAGCGAGTAAGGGCTCAGGTAAAAGATGAAAAACCAGCAGCAGCCATTCTGGTAACGCTACCACTCCAGGACTCCAGCCATTGTTGTTGCCACTTGAAGCCTTTCAAAGGCTAAATCCTCCTGCGCACGGTGTGCTGATGGAGCAGTCGGCTGCTGCACGCTGCCAGAGGAGCGTGCCAGCGTTGTTCCGCGGCCTGCAGCCCACACCTCCATTGCTCTTGCGATCCCACTCCCGAAGAAGACCGAACTTTCTCCTTTCAAGCGCCACCAGGGACTCCCATATCAGAGGAACGGAGTAGAGTGCTTGCTCCTACACGCCGTCCGGTTTAAAGTCTAGAGTGTATCCTCAGCGGCACCAACGGGAAAGGATTTGGGGAGAGACGTCTCTTTTGCCGAAGCGAAAGACGTGCCTTTCGGTTAGCCACCGTGCCTTTGCAGCATGGTGACGCTCGCAGGAGCCTAGGTCCTTTGATTTTCTCCGGTCACAATTCAGACAATTCATCACGCTGCGCAACCCGAGCCAGAAATCCTGATACTCTGGGCCCTCCGGTTGACCCGGCCCCTCACACGGGGTAGCAGCAGGCCCGTCACGAGTTTGATTGCCAGGCACAGCAGACTCGGCCTCCCTTCCGGCCCTTCAACACCCCCGTCGTGCTTCTGCACGATGGCCGCTTTCTGTGGCGGCAGAGTAGGTAGTGTCAGTTCCGTCGATGGCATGGACGGCACCTGGATCGATCGAGACGCCGTGGAAGTGATGGAAAGCCAGCTTCCCCGACCCGACAGACGCCTGCATTTGAGTGCGTGCTCTTCTGGCTTTTGTGAATGGAAGGCTGAGCTCAAGGCTGACTTCGACAGGAAGACTTTGAAGGGCGAGGCCGGAGTGCGCCAGGGGTCTGGGCGAGCGATGGTCAGAAGGGAACCTCCGATGTGTGCTGATGATTGACGCTCGCCTCCCTGCGCCTCCCCGGCCTCGCAGCATATCCTCGGCCGCTAAAGCTTCATCGAGCAGTCAGGTGCAGGATCCGGCTCTCTTCGACGCAGAGCCACCGCTGTCGCTTTTTGGAGGCTACCGGAGCTTTAGGCCTTGACTGCCCTTGATAGGCTTACCCGGCTTGCCCCCCAACCGTCGACTCCTTTCCTGCTACGAGTTTCTCGACCTTCCACAGAGATCGGACGGCAGAAGCAGTTTTGCAGGATGTGCGGGTCATCCCCGCGCATCGATCGGAAGGGATTCCAGGAGGGCCATGTCCTTTACTTTTAATCGGAGAGAGAATCTGTGCACAAGCATTGAAGATAGTAGCTATGTCCATGATGTTGAGGGTGAGACTAGCGATGACAAGAGCCAACAAGACGGCGAGTAGTAGCAACACCGATCACGTGATTGCTGGGAAATGTACGGAAATAATCTACTACAGATGACAAGAAAGCTCAGAGTCGGAAGTGTCAGCTCATGAGAAGCTACTTGGTGTCTTGGTTTCAGACTTCATTCAAGCAGAAAGGTCGGCAAAAATCGACCGACATCCGATTCATGAGGCCCTAGTTAAGCATTGAGTTCTGAACTAAGTCCTAAAGCCCAGGCAGTCCTGCTTGACGAGTCCTGTGCCCATGCGGGGGAGTGGCTTCGCAGCTTGCTAGCTCCTCACTTCGACCCTTTCTGCGCATGCTCTGCCGCTTGCCACTGTGCCGTCTTCTCATCGCTTGGCCTTTGAGTTTGAGGGAATGTCCGCGAGCTTGGTAGCCGCCACATCCTTTGTGTGAATCTTCCGATTGACAGCTAGCCAGCTCAGTACCTGCTTTTGGCGTTGCAGAGCCCAACAAGCCCAAACGGCACCTGGGATGATGGCTCGACGGAGAAGAAGCCCACTCCAATCTCCCGCCCGAACTCGGTATGACACCAGCGTGCAGCAACTCTAAGCGAATGTGCTGGCAACGGCGTGGTCGAGTGCTGCCGAGTGCAAAGTGATAGCGAGCACTTTTCTGCAAAGGCGGCGTGGCAGCTGCCATGTGTATATCATTATCGTGTTTTGCGGCCCAGCTCCAGCAGTAAGGGCAATTCTCTGTCGGCTTCTGTCGGAGAAATCCAGCCTGCCGTCGGGCCATTCCATCTGACCCTGCAGGGTCACGGTCTGCGCGAGCTTCCCGCTCCCTATGTGGTTCGAGGATTGAGTTCATGAAGAAGGTCGACTGCGAAAGTAAGAAGTTGGGCAAGGGTGGAAGCCGTGTGCCAGGGTTGCGGGCAGGCTATGGTCAAGAGGCCGCCTCCGATGTGTGCTGATGGTTGGCGCTCGTTTCCCTGCACCTCCCAGCCGACTGCCACTGGTCCTTCCTTCAAACCGTGCACGCAGGCAGCTTGCCAACCCACAAGGTTCTGTACATGGCACGGCCAGGCGTCCAACGAACTTGGTAAGGGCAGCGTCGCATGCCGAAGTGATATGGAAGCGCAGCCTGCCTAGCATGTCATTCTGCATCACAGCATATTATACGCTCCGTCATTACAACATTGACCATTGCCTGCATGCAGCTTTCATTGTTTCTTTCAGTTTCTTGCCTTGGCAGGAAGTGGCTTGCGTCGGAAGGGATGGGCGGGCTGCTGAAGGCCTCGCTACCTGTTCCGAGACCTGTTGAGACCATGAAGCAATGCCTTGCCTTCACGAGGCAGCTTCCTGCTGCCACGAGGCTCTTATCGTCCAAGGGAATCGCGCAGCAGAAGCAGTTTTGAAGTAGATCTGCAAGCGCCAGCCGAAGTGGATTCCGGGAGGGCCGTGTCCTTGGCCGAAACAAACGATGTGCCGTGGTGGCCACCGCGCGTCTCCAAAATGGCGCAGGTTGTTTTGGTTTGCTGGTCGAGCACAACGGCACCGATGCAGAGCACTTGCACGCATCACAAGTGGTGGGGGCTGCAACCTGTCGAAAAAAATCTTTGCGAAAGCTGTCTTTCGCGGAGATTTCGGGTAAGAGTGCTAAACGGCTACCCAAGCGGGGCTGTGGAAAGCAGGATCACTTCTCTGGCAGCCTGCAGCTTCCGATTGCTCCGTCTGCACTCCGTATGTGGCAGGAGTTAGCCCGTGGAGGGTTTGAAGAGAGCACGATTCCGTTTTGCCTGGTAAGCAAACTCGTGACCGACCTGCTGCCAAGCCTCGCATGATGAACCGGGTCGACCGGCAGGCCGAGAGCTCAAGTTCCCTGGTTCGGGTTGCTGCTTGGAAGACTCGGACATCTGCGTAGACGTCGGAAGCAGATGTCACCCGAAAGAGTTCTGCTCCAGGCATTGCGAAAGGAAATCGCTTCTCTATGAATCGTCGCTTCCCACATGAACGAGTTCAGAATTGAACCCGAAACCCTGCCCGTACACCCTAAAAGCTTACTAGCTACTTGCCACTCCCTCCGTTTGAGTCCGATCCAAAAGCGGGCGTGAGGTGATTCTTGAGAAGTCTCGCGTCGCAGCTCGGCACAAGGTGTCACACCGCAGCTACACAACTCTCGTTGTGCACACTGTCACATGTGCGTCCTTCCTGAAGACTAAGACTAAGAGCAAAAACTGGAGCGAATCCCTGGGCCCGTGCCGGTGTCCGTTGAAGGCCCAGCTTGTGCCATAACTCCCTTCTGAGGAGCGTGGGGCTTGGTGGAGCCGGTGACCAGCTCTTCATCTCTCCACCGTGCGACGTCACTTGATCACTGCAGTGCTGAGGCTCTCCAGAGCAGGAGCCCATTCTCCCTGCATCCACCCTCGCGGTCGCAACTTCAGAAGAGCTTTGTGTACCACTGCCAGCTGAATGGCAGCATATGACCGTGCCCGACGTGCGCAGAGCCTTGAACCCGCTAGGCCCGAACCGCAGCCTCTGGAGCTGCAGGGCCTGACCACCCGCTCTCGATGACCTTAGAGATGGAAGGTCGGCCAGCAGCGTGACCCCGCAAGGTCTGCGTGACTTCCTGGCATCCCTGTCCCTCCAGCTCATCCCGTCCGGCCCCCGGCCTCCTGGATCCCGGACTTGCTGAGACCATGAAGTGCCTTGCCTTCACGAGGCAGCTTTGCACAGCAGAAGCAGACTTGAAGGAGCCAGGAGCCATCACGGGCACCGTGACAGACGTTCGGGGAGGACGGTGTCCTTTGGCCGACATGCCATGCCGGCCACGGCGCGTCTCCAGCATGGCAACGTTACCTAAAGGCTAGGTTGTTTTTGGGTGCAGCAGCATCGAACGAGAGAGCCAACGCACGACACTGTTGGGTAGCTCCAGTTTCTGATTTGCGGTTGCAGATGTCCAAGGGCTTAACGTCTTCAACCCGAACCAGGTCCCTCGTGCAAGGCTTGGGAGGCAAGTCACGGGTTTGTTTGTCAAGCTGCGAGCATCAACTCCTCTGTGCTTTCCAAGACACTGCCGGCCCACTGACATTTCGTGGATCATGCACTTGGTGTGAGTGGCCGGCGGCCCGCACCTGATTCAATTATCTGTAGCTGTCACACTCCCAACCCCCGGGCCCCTCCCCAACTGCAAGCTCTCCGTTGAAGTGCAAAAGCGGATTCCTGCTTGAAGGATCCACATTATCAGGTGCCAAGATTAGTTATCCGATCTTCGGCACATCCCTGGTGAAAGCTCGCTCCTCCCGCACTCCACTTTAGCTCCTTGGATTTATCCTAAGCTGGATCTGGCAGCCCTTCATGTCCTGCACCTGAAGCGACAGCTCCTGGAAAAGCTGCGTGAAAGGTCGGAGTCTTTGTGAAGCCCAAGCAGTGGTGCTCGACTGCGCGCCTCGACTCTTGTGCCGATGCTGGTGGGCGGCTCGGTGGCTGTGCAGCTTGCTAGCTCCTCACTTCGGGAATTTCTGCTCTGATCTGCCGCTTAGCGGTGCGCGATCTCATCGCTTGGCCTGGTGGGGAGGGTCCTTAAACTTGGTGGGAGCGCAGTCCGCCACCCTTCGGGCCGTAGGGCTCCGAGCCAGGGACCGTGATCTCTGAAAGCGTCTGGCATCCCCTGGCACTCCGGCTGCAAGCTGCAGCATCGAAGGGTGGACGATGAGCCCCGAGTCATAAGTCTGGATCGAATCTTCAGTGAAGACTCATCTTTCACAGGGCACCACATGGCTTTCTGAACCGAACTCCCATCTGCACAAGGACGTGCCTCAGCTTGCACGAGATTCGTCGGCTCGAAGCCAGGGGCCCGAGCTGCCGGGCTCTGTTCCCAGGTCCTATCCCCTGGAAGCCTGGTTCAGGGTTTAGGTTAAAATTAACTTCTGGGTCAGTAGCTTAGTTTGGGTGTTGAGTGGGTTTCGGGCTTAAGCTCCATGCGCATCCCGAAGCTTTGAGCCCCTGGCAGCTCGCTCTTTGCTTTTCCAGATGCACTAAAGAATGAACATTTATTCCTTTTAAAGCCTCGGTTCAAGACTTAAGTAAGCGCTGCCTGTAGGTTTTCATGATGCCTGCGGTTGAGCCGCAGCCAAGCGTTGAACTCGGGCCCGTCCGGCGTGGGGAGACACCAGCGATCCCAAGCCGTTGCGCTTGTAACGTGCTTCCCCGCTTTCAGCATTGCTACAAGTTACAAGCAGCTAACTGCTTCAGGCCGAGCGTCCGAGCTGGCTCTTCGCAGCACCCTGGCGCAGTCCACGCGCACGTGTCAGCTTTCGAGGAGGCTCAGGTTTGGGAGATGCGTCTCTTTCGATGCGCACTGCTTTGCTCCTGCATCGTGAGGCTTCCGCCAAATCACTACATCTCGTGCTGAAGCTGATCTCAGCCGTAGGGTTCTCTGGACTTGGCAGGACCACTTCCTCGGGCTCGGGATCACTGGATCACTTGTGGAGCTGTGCCAGTGTGCCGGTCTAGTGTAGCAGTTATATGCGCGCCGCTCGAGAGAGGTCTCGTCACAGCCTCCGCCCCGGCTTGCAGAAGCGTTGGTGCAGGAGCTGCAGCTCTGCCTCTTTCTCTGGCCTCCGGTACTGTTGGTGCAATGCGAAGCCTGATGGGCATCCCTTCTTCCTGCTGGGAGCCTGGTTCCGGCAGCACTTATCAACGTCCTCGACCCAGATACATGCACTGGGGCGACGGGGAGGATCACCCGTTCGCGTCTCAGACTCTCCGGACTCGCAGCGACGCGGCCTGAAAAGGTCACGGCCGACTGCGGGTAGTCAGGTCTAAGTTAGGGCCAAGATGTGGATGGCCGATTCATACCATCACTTATCGCCTGAAGGGCATGCTGCGGATTTCAGTTGCACTGAAGTTGTTGGGATGTGGGAGTTTAGCGATTCCCATCTTTTCCGCTACTTGAAGCCAGCCAGGCTTTTGAGGGCTAGTTGGATGTCCTGCAGCAGATGCCCGAAGTGTTGTGCATGTCACAGCCAGTCGAACTCGGCAAGGTGAAGGACTTCGCGGCCAGCACCGCGTGCTTGAGTCGAAGGTCATGAGCCCGGAGCTAAACTCCTGCGGCGGCCAACTCGCACGAAGACTTCACGAAAGCCCTCTTCTGACAGGAGTTGTCTGTACAGGATTGTGGGCTGTGTTGCACGCCTGGTGTCTTTGTCTTGAGGCGCGGTTCTCTGCATGCAAGCTTGCAAATCATCCGTCCGGAACGGTCGCGTTCCCGATGCGCCGGAAATCTGAAGGAAGCATTCGAGCATTCATGTTTTGAAAAGCTTAGCATGAAGTTTGAGTTCTGAAGGGTCCGGGGTGGCTTCTCAGCCCGAAGATCCGACTATGGCAGCATGAGGTGCACGTACTTCCCCCAAGACTCTGAGGCGGCCCAGAAAAGTCGCGTGAGTTGATCTGAAGGTATAATACAGTTTATAAAGGGGTCTTCAGGGAGAGCCCCCGATTCTTGGAGTGTCAGAATCCTCCTCTCTCTCCACCTACCGATGGGCGTAACACCTGCGACAATATAGCACATATGCAGTATCCCCGGCGTTTTCTGATTTATGTAGGCTACAGGTAGGCTGTAGACGCTGAGCTGCCCTGGAGTCTTCTAAGCCGCGTTTGGCCGCAAGAGCTTCAACCAGCATTCAGACTCCAACAGAGCTTTAGAACATGTCAGCGAAAGCTTCCTTTATTTCTGAAGGCTTATGTCAGTGAAGATGTGACTCTAGTAAATTGATTGTCTTGATGAGCACCTTCACATTTATTCTCGGCCTCTAGGTTTAACCTTCGCCGACCTTCTCTTCGAGTGAGAATTCGGTGCGGCACATGGGTCATGTTAATATGGATATTGATGGTACACTTGTAGAGAAGAGCCACGGCGGCCGCCTGTTGTTAAGGACGTTTTCAGGTGTTACATTGGACTGCGCGTCCAGAAAGTCTTATTCTTGAGATTGGCTACGCAGCAAAGGTCTGTGAGGTGCAGGTCTGTTGAGCTGTTGCAGTTTGTAGCAGATGTTGGAGCTAGGCGGCTTGCGGGCGTCTCCGGTTCAAGATTGCTCCGGAAAGCCCAAAGTACCGTGCAAAGCTTTGCATGGGCTTCGCAAGCCGAGGGTCCCAGGAGAAGACTTGCGGTGTGTTCCGAGACACTTACCTTTGGTTAGTAGGGAATGGAGGAATGGGGTACAATTATAACTACTATTCCTGCCATTCTTCCATTCTCTACTAACCAAAGGTAAGGACATTGAGAGGATGTGCAACACCTCGCATCAATGTTACAAGCTAAAGTTTGCAACGTAGGAAGACTCTCACATTTCAATACTTCTCAATGCCAGCTGATGAAAGCAAGTTCGCCCCAAGCCCACACTTAAAACTCATGATGTTGAAGAGTCGCAATCTCCCACCCAAGCTGGTAAGCCTGCGCAGGAGTCGCTTTTGTAAACTGGGAAGTGCGGCATGGGGGACGCGCCAACCTTCTAAGAGGCCGGCATCCTCACAAGCCATGGGAACTTCAGTACAGTACAACGTTTGACTTGTTTCGTCCAGGCGAGGTTTGGTGAGGTTGAGGTGTCAGTTTCAGTACGAAGAAGAAGGGTATGTCGATAGAGGCTGACCTGAGTGACCATCATTTCCAGAAGCCGCACACACTGCCTGGCACGCTGCAACTGCTGGCAGGATTATGAAATTATGTTAATAGCGTTGTTTGTTCCCCGATTTTGTGCGCTAATGGTATGTCCTCATGTCGTCCCTATGGGGAGGCAGGGAAGGCTGAAGTCAATGTTGAAATCCGATACTTCGGCCTTTGAATCGCACTCCCGCGAGGGGGCATTTGGGGTGCGTGTCTTGGGTGAAAATCACGACATCAGCTGGACGGCAAATCTCTCGAAGACGCTTAGCAGGGCCATCGCAGTCGTTATCCCGTCCCTCAAAGGGGTTCCCCTTCATTATTGGGGTGCACATGGCGCCTTTTTGCCAAAGTCCCACGCACGATCGTGTGCTCCTCGCCACAGGCAGCCACAGTCCCGGGCACATTTGGGGGAGGGCGCGTTTTGTCTCATGGCATGGTCCTGGGTAATTATATGATTGCTCCATGGCATATATGATATTGATGACGACCTTTTCCATGAACACCAGAGGTATGACGGCTACATGTAGAACAAGTACTCGTAGTACGACTCGTGCTCTTGATCACTGTCGCGATTGTTACCGGCATTACTGTTGCTTCTTGACAGTACCTGCTTAAATACAGGGAGACGGTCGCGTTGCAGTTGCGAGCTTTGTAGTCGAGATAATGAGTTAGTCAGGCTCCGAGATGCGGCTGCTGGCAATCATGGGGCCTCTGCTCGACGGGCGGCTGGGGCGGCCAGGGCATCATCCATGGGACCCGAGAGCAGATCCCTCTATCTGCTCCAAGTAATGTCTGCCACCTCACGGGACAACATCCACTCCTAAGCCTAAGCCCCCTGTGAGCATCGCGACGCTTGCGAGACGCGATCGCCCGATGCATCCGTGGTCAGCCCCAGGGCTCCTCAGGACAGTTTGAAATCGCATGTATAGCCGCACAGGGGCGCCAGCGGCAGCAGCCACCCAGACGGAAATGCCTTCATCGCATTCCAGCATGCATCAGGGAAGTGCGGCGTTCGTGTTTCCGTAGATGCCACTGACTTGAGGAAGGAACCTGGTGGCTGCGGAATATTGGGACCAAAACGGAAGTCTCTGTACAGGCACGTGAGTAAGCACGACCAGTGAGACCCATCGGCCCGCGGGATGCAGTGCCTGCAAGAGAAGGGTGTCCGGGATAGCTTGTTCTTG